TGACAAGTTTAGAAATACTGCAAAACGTAATCTGTCCTACAAACTTTACAGTGTGCAGACTGTTGAGCCATAATAAAGATGACAAAGAGAGATTTGCTTAGCAGAAACAAGTAAGCATCAGTTTTCAGTTCTTAAGATCTTAAATGTTTAAGTTGTTCTAGTTTAGCTGAACATATGAATAGAATTTAAAAATTCTGGCAGTCATTTACTACAGTTAAAAGCTGCCAAATTTCTCCATATTTTTGAAGATTTTTTTAATCTTAAACTTTTGACTTTGATGTGATCATGTACGCTTTAATTTAGACAATTGATTTTTAAATGCATGAACTTCATTTAAGATAGCGCAGTTTATCTTAAGGTTACTGTTTACAATTTGGATAGAAGCCCCTGCAGTTAAAATACTTTTGGAGAACAAAAAAAGACCTGTTTCAAAAGCACTCAATTCTGGTTACTTTTTTGGGAGGGTTGTCTTGGCTACAGACAGAACTCTAAAGATTTGAAGATTTGAGCTTGACGTCTCCTCTCCTACAGCCGATATTGGGACATTATTTCTACAGTCTTTACCGTGGATATAATTAACCCTTACTACTCACACTACCAATCTTATCTCCCCGTATTTCTTCTTTGGCTTAGGACGTTCACCAGTCTCAAACTCCTCGTAATGACCAATTAATCTTGTGTTTGACACTGGAACTCCTGCCTTGTTGACTTTGGAAGAATTTGATCTACTTTTGGATTAGCTCGCTTACGCCTGTTGCCTGAGTGGTTTGTTCTATGCGCGCTATAATCTTAGTATTAAGCACTTTATTACTCACTTTGAAATAATATAATGGATACGAACTCACGATAGCAGTGTCTATACCTACTCTATACTCCACCAGATAATAATAGGAAAAAAAGCACAAAGTATTATAAATACAGTAGCACGCAGTTACAATATCTGCCAATGAGCACATGAAAATAGCTTAAGTAGAAAAACTCCAAGAAGACTGTATCGGTCAATGTCGGATAAAACTATCTATAGACTGATTGCTTACTGAAACGACTAAAGTTAATTTTATAAAAAGAGCCGTGCAGTTGAAATTTGATTTCTCGGTTTAGCTGTATGTTAAGTAGCTTTTTCAGTTGGTCAAGGGAGTGCACATCTTAATTAAAATGCAAAAATTATTTGCAATTATGTAAATGACTTTACAGCTAATCATATCAAAGTTATATAAATGAATATACAGATAACAACTGTATAAGATTTTTCCTAATTGTATAGAACTTGAGTATTTCTAAATCCTCTGTCCTCGCTTATTCTTT